CCTGCAAGGAATGGGGAAAAAAGATCTCAAAGAGAAAATAAACAGCTTTAGTAAAGTCATGGAGAAGACAACCGCAGCGCAAGTCTTCTCCAGGACCAGGCTGGCATCTCCAAGCCAAAGTGGAACCATGTATGAACCCTCCCTCTAAGTACCTTGATAAGGGTTGGCAGTGCCACGATCTCTAATTATCTTCTAGGTGCCATGAAAGATGCCAGAGAGCCAAGCAGAGGTCTCAGCTTGAGGCTGGAGGGGCTGGAAGTCAGGATAAAGTGGCACAGACTGAGGGGTAGCACAAGGCACTGGGATGTTGAATTTGAAGCCCTCGAGGATCTGCATTGTTCTAACACAATTTAGAAAAATCTGGGTTTTCCAGATTCTAGTCTACCAGATTAAAGCATCTCTAATGGCAAGATTCAAAGACATTTAGTTATGCTGTAAGAATCGGGAGCCAAGAGTGAAACAATGAGATAAAAGACAAGACACCAGGCTTTTCCTACTTGGCTTTCTGGTTGCTTAGACTCTGGGGTGCCTTTTTAAATTTAACATATTTAACTTGCCTCCATAAGGCTCCGGGGAGACCTTATAGCACCTTCCAGTGCCTGGGGGGGCTACAAGAAAGCTGGGGGGGCTTTTCCCAAGGGCAGGGAGTGACAGGAAAAGGGGTAACTGGTTTAAATGGAAAGAGGGAGATGGAGATGGGACATCAGGAAGTAATTCTTCTTGGAGAGGGTGGGGAGCACTGGGACAGGTTGCCCAGAGAAGCTGTGGATGTCCCATCCCTGGGAGTGTCCAAGGCCAGGCTGGATGAGGCTGGGAGCAACCTGGTCTAGTGGAAGGGGTCCCCGCCCATGGCAGGGGGGGGGACTGGGGGGGGTTTGAGGGCCCTTCCCACCCAAACCATTCCATGGTTCTATGACTCTATGGGTCACCTGCCCAGCCAGACATGGGGCTTCTTGGTAGGGCTGCCCTGGGGCTCTGTGCACCCCAATTTCAGAGCCGCCTCTTGCCACGCTCTCACTGCACTGGAAAGTCCCTCTTCAGCATCATTCTCTGCCTGTTATTTGGCCATAAGTGTTTATCAGTTTTTTCAGACAGATGATGCTGAAGCCAAAACCTCCAGCCTGGTCCCAGAAGGGGACTCTGTTTTGGGATTAACCTACAGACACGAGTTACCAACCCCAGCCCACGGGTGAGTTCTGCTCTTTGCAAGGCTGAGGCAGGACTAGCTGTCAGCTCCCCCGTGTGTCACAGGCTGTCAGCCTGAGAGGACATCAGCACGGGGTTATTTTATTGTGACTCGTCTCCTCTCTAGCTGCGCAGATTGCTTAAGAGATGGCACTCCGTGGAGTTTGACCCGCCAGCCCTGATAGTGAAAATAATACACTTCTCACCGGAGCCACGGGAGACCGAAAGAGTAACTTCGGGACAATTAGTTTAACTTTGACTATAAATATTCCTTCTCACTCCTTGTGACACCGTTAACAGCTCCGCTGGCAAATCCCGATTCTCTGGCAATATTTAAGCTGCCTGTCAGTTGGCAGAGGCTTGGCGGTGCCCGGCGCAGGGAACAGAATGAGACCCAGCTGAGCGCAGTAAGTTCCCTTTCAGCTTCTACCTCGAGTCGGGGAGCTCCGGTTGACGCGCGGGTTCGGGGCTGCGTCTCCGCCCCGGTTTAGCGGTGGTGTCTTTGGGCGGTGGACGGACCTGGGAATGCTTTAAAAACTCCCGGTGAGGAGGCATTTGGAGCGATACAGTCCCGACGGGTTTACTCGAGACCCACGTGGGCTGCGTCTCTCCCGGGGCCATTGATAAAGGGCTGGCTTCAGCGCCTTCATTTCAATGCCACGGATGTTCCTTCCTCACAATCTCTGGCGAGGAAAGCGCTGCCGCCTGTGCCAGGAACCGAGGGAGACCGGGCTGTGAGCTGAATTCTCAAAACACACAAAATTTCCACTGGGCTGGGGCAGAGCTGGGACCTGAAATCAGAGCAACTCAGTCTACGACGTTTTTCCTCATGCCCAGCCTCACCCCCGGCTCTGGGAGCACTTGTAATTCAGCTCCGGGGATTTCCCCTGGAGCGTGTCCCGCGTTTTGGGCACGACAAAAGCCCGCAGAGCCCTGCCCCACGTCCGCGGGCATGTCGGAGGGAAGCACACCACGCACGTGTGGCTGAACCCCGTTGGGAGGCTGAGCGAACGTGGCTCATAGTGCCGGCCAGCCCTGCGGCCCCGCTGCGGGATGTGCCTCGGGATGAGAAGAAACAGCAATATCAGAGCTGCAAAAGAGGAAGGAGGTGTCGGAGGGGGTTAGCAACTTCCCAAGGCTGTAACACCAAACCCGGCTTTTCCCAGTTAGAGGTTAAGCACATCAGTAAGAACTCCGCGACAGCCAAGACCTCTTGCCTCAAAGAGGTAAGATAGCACTGATCTCATGTGTGTCCTGCAGCCTTGCAAGGCAGAAGCTTCCAGGGAATTCAGTGGCATCCAGGAGGTTTATAAGGCAGAGAAAAGGCTCTGCCAAGATGCTG